TGAATGTATCAGCACTGTGCGAGTAGCTGGTGATACAAAAGTCAATAGTATTCATCTGATACCGAAGTCTGATAATCAGTTTATCATTTGCAATCAGTCAAATACAATTGTAATTGTGAACATACGAGGGCAGGTGAGTATTTGCTAATTCAAGTTGGCATTGATAAAAACCGCAGTAGCGAGCGTACCAGGCTTGATAGTGCGGTCTTGGTATCTTGCGCTAATCTTGAAACAGTCGTAACAGTATGAATGGCTGTTGCTTTACATTTGACATGTGCACACATTCTGGTAATGTTTCAGTTTTTTCCTGCGTACATGAGGGAGAGGTATCCGCTAGAAGGGCAATTTTGCATCGTGTGACCGCGTGAAATCTTAACTTCCGGCATGCGTGTTTGCCGTAAATTTTGCTTAAAGAGAAATGAAAAATTTTCGATGAAATAAACGACTGGTCATTGGAGATTTTTGTTCTTATTCTGGAATTTAGTCCTTTGTTAGGTGGAGAACATTTTTTCAGAACTTGAAATTGCCTTAGCTATTTTGGTTCGCGGATTAGTAATTTTCCCACCCAAATTCTCATTTATCCATACGTGAGAACCAGGCTTAACTTAGTACTGAATACGAAATCTTTACACCACACTTGGACAGAGGACGTCTTCCAAAAATTTCAACTTCCTAGCTGGCTCGTCTCAAGTCGGCAGTTTTCTCGCCAACGTTTTTATGTGTTTTTTGCAGCTATGCAATGCAAAAACGCATAATGACGAGGAGTTGTCTGTGTGTCTGTGTGTGCGTCTGTCACGCGCTTTCATCTCAAGACCTATGAAAGCTGCAGGGCTGAAATTTCGGGAACTTAATCTACATGCACGTGCCGGCCCCAACCCTCAAAATGGGCGCCATCACCCGTGTGGTACGCGCGTATGCGCCCGCCAAAGTTTTTTTGAGGTAAGTTCATAACTCGGGGATCTGAGAAGCTAGAACGCTGAAATCTTAGGGGGATGTTCCCTGTCCAGGTGGGTATTAACGAGTTCAAACCCCAAACGCGGGTAAGCGTGGCACCTACGTACGGGCCTGTGAAAGTTTCTCCCGGGTAAGTTGCTAACTCGAGAACGTGAAAAGCTCGAAGACTGGATTTTTGAAGGGATGTTC